TCTATCTATCTATCTATCTATCTATCTATCTATCTATCTATCTATCTATCTATCATCTATCTATCTATCTTCCCCATCATCAGAAGGACATAAAAGATGGTTACATGACCTCAAGACACTGCAAACATAATACATGCCAGTTGCCATGTGTCAGAATTTTGATCATGTGACCATGAGGATTCTGCAATGGTTGTGTGAAAAACAGTCATAAGTCATGTTTTTCAGTGCTATAACAATTCCAAATGGTCACTAAATGAATGGTCTTAAGTCAAGGACTACCTGTATGATCCTGCTACTAAAAAATAAAAGTATTTTCTTTATTAAATGTTTGCATTTCTTTTACTTTCATCCTTTATTTCACTTACCTGGTGGAATAAAAAAATAGTTTCCATCAGTCAAATAATAGCTTTGTTCATTCAGCATGAGAAGAAGTTTACCATGATCAACGTGAAAGATCTTGAAAAATAAAAGTCATAAGCATAATTTTAATTGATGTTTTATTCCCTGGAAACATGATAGCATATTATTTTCTTTAATCTTAAAATTAACCATCTTGAATCTTAAGTCTGTCTACATAAAAATAAGACCTACAACACTAGCTGCATTTTGGTTGTACTCCAAAACCCAAGTTCTATCGTCAATTGCAGGAATAGGCTCACAGAATCCTATACTTAATAATTTTAAAAGCAGTAATGAATATCTGCTCTGGTGATTCACATCAGGTGTTTTGCATTTCACTCCAGATGTCTTGGAAACTAAGACTGCTAAACTCTACATCATTGCATCACAGTCCTAAAATTTTCCTTCATTTGTAGGAAGAATCAAACAGCTATTCCTTAAAAAATAAGAACAGCCTATCACCAGAGTATGAAAGATATCAGAACAGATATATTTAGAAAGAAAATGCAGAAATGGCAGAAATCAGACTCTTATTTCCTATCTGAATTATCTATTAATAGAGAATGAAGATGTTTTCTTCCCATGCAGCCTATTTTGTAAGAAACAAATAATCTAATGGCCTTGTTCTCTTCCACTGTTGAGGCAAATTCTTAAGGTTCTTTACACAAATGTAATCCCTAGAATAGTTGGGATTTGAACAGAAATCTTTACTCATCTATGAAGCTTAAGAGTTCATTTTTGACATCCTCTTCTCTTGGAAGCAGAACTATGATTGATGAAGGAGATGTTCCTTCCATTATACCCAAATCTAAGCCCTGTTTCTAATTCAAAGTGGAATTAGGAGCTCTGGTGGAACAGTGGTTAGAATGCAGTACTGCGGACTAACTTTGCCCACTGCCAGTTCCAACAGCTCAAGATTGACTCAGCTTTCTATCCTTTAGAGGTCAGTAGAATGAAGACCAAGGGGGGAGGAAAGGAAAGCCCTGTCGGCTGGGAGGGTTGCTGCACATGGACTGAAATGCACAAGATGGGAAGCAGAGGTGGTATTCAACAGGTTCTGATCAGTTCTGGAGAACTGGTAGCAGAAATTTTGAATAGTTTGGAAAACCAGCAAATACCTCTGACTGGCTCCATTCCCATCTATTCTCTGCCTCCCAAATCCCAGCTGATTGGCTGGGTCTTCTTTTGTTGCCCTGCACAGGGGAACAGAGCTGGAAAGCAGGTTAGTGGGATGGAGAGGGAATGAGATTTTGCAGTAACCTTCCCCTGGAGTGGGGAGGGAATGGAGATTTTACAGTATCCTTCCCCTACCACACCCACCAAGCCATACCCACAGAACCAGTAGTAAAAAAAAATTGAATCCCACCACTGCACTGGGAAGTGCAGAAGCTGGCTGATGGTGGCAGAGGAATGTGCCAATTAGCTGGAGAGCTGGCTCACAACAATCAGCTGGAGAGAAAGTGCAGATCAGCTAGAGATCCGGAGCTCATTTCAATCAGCTGGAGAGTGGCTGAGTAGCAGGCATGCTGACAGGAAGACAGAACATCTGCAGCCGAAGCTTCTCAGCCCTTCTTGGTGTCCAGAAGCTGCTGGTGAGGCACGGGCCAGGCAGGGGTTCCAAAACCAGTTCTGAAGCAGCAGCAAGTAGAGCTGACTTTGATTGTGGGTCACTTTTGTGCAGAGTTTGCAAGCCTGTATTAAGCACACATCATGCCAAGAACTGTGTTGCTTGTTTTCTGATTCTGGAAGCTTGGAACGTGACAATGGGATGGCATTGCATAGCATAACATAGAACAGAACAGAATCAACAAAGTTGGAAGGGACTTTGGATATCTTCTAGTCCAACCCCTCAACCAGAAGATCGATACCTTTCCAGATAAGTGGTTGTACAATTTCTTCTTAAAAATCTCCAGTAATGAAGCATCCACAATTACTGACACCAACTCATTCCACTGATTGGTTGTTCTGTCAGGAAATTTCTCCTTAGTTATAGGTTGGATCTCTCTTTGATTAGTTTCCATTCATTGTTTTTTGTCCTACTTTTAGGTGCTTTAGAGAATAGGCTGAACACTCTTCTTTGTGGCAGCCCTTTTTAGATGTTGGAAGACTGCTATCATGTCACCCTAATCCTTTTTTCATTAGATATACCACTTCTGCAAATGTTCATGTTTTAGCCTCCAATCCTCTAATCATCTTTGTTGCTCTTTCTCTGCACATCTCAACATTTTTTAAATTTATTTGTAACTTGCCTTTATTATTTTTACAAATAATTAAAGGTGGTGAACATATCCAACACACATTCCTCCTTCTATTTTTCCCACAACAAACCTGTGAGATGAGTTTACTTGAGATATATTACCTTTCATATGTTACAATTTACATTACATGCTACTAAATGTAAAAATTACATTTATTTCAAAGCATTTTAATTTTCAACTGTTAATATCAACAGGAAAAATTTACAATGTTGACTATTATTTGTTAAAATGTTTGCATATCTGTTTTTATTTATAATCTCATAGTCTGAGAATATTTTATAAATGAATACCATTTAAAATTAAGCTAAAATAATAGCTGAAGTCGAGGACCCGGTGGCAAGGCAAGGACAAGTAGAGGTGCAGAAGCCCATCTGCGGTTTCAGCTTATCTCTTTTTGCGGTTGGTGCGATCCCCAGAGGGTGCTCGAATCCTGGAGAGATTCGTGTCGGTGTGGGGGCTACTCGGGCTGCAGTGTGGGGAAGGCAACCCCCCGGCAGCGAAGAGGAGCCCTCCAAAGCCCAACGTGCAAGAGACAGCCTCCTGTCAATGGCGGCTCCAAAGTCCAGATTGCCTCCGATGTGAAAAGCGAGTAAGTGACAGTTCGTAAGATTGGTGGAGAAAAAGGTGGCAGGAAGAGCTTAACGGTGGAGAGGAAGATCGGCAAGTTATTTTTCGCACTAGCGTCTGTCGGAAGCCTGAAAGGAAAGCGGCTAAAAAGCGAAGGCTAGACAAGCGTGGGCGAAAAGGTTCAGCAGACCGAAGTGAAAGTATGGATTACAACGAATGAAAGGGGAAGTCTACGAGGTCAGGAAAATACTGCTTGGAAAGAGTCGGGAAGTTGTGGAGAATTTTGAACACTTGAGTGGACTGTTATTTTGATGGACTTTCTAGGATAAACTTTATTAAAGCAAAGACGAGGAACAAGGCTGGTGAAGAAGAGGTAGCGCGGCGCTATACGAGATACATAGAAACTCCGAAGTCATTGCAACAAAATATCGGATATTAACTGTTTAACAGACCTTTTAACCGATCCTGAGGAGAACTCTATTGCGGCTTTGCTCCGCATTTGGAAGGCTGCCCACTGGGTGGTCGAATGCATCAAGAAAGACACCAACGCAGGTTCTATCTTGGATGAGCTGCCCCGATCACAAGTTCGGGAAACTCTTTTATTAAAAAACACACAGTGATACGTCACAAGCAGTGAATTCTATCCAATCATTAAGTTACATGAGAAGGAATATTAGTGCACACATAGTAACATCCAATTACAGTGCATGGTCAGTGTGAAAGGTACAAGGTAACAAATCAGCGCCTGCATTA